CGGGTCCCTGCGCCGCCCGCACCGCCCCGGGGCAGGCACCGGGCCTGCCGGCATCGCCACGGGTGTCCCCGTGGGGCGTGCGTGCACCGCCCGTGGGTGCGTGGACCCGGTGGGGCGTGCATGCATCAGCCGTGGGTGCATGGACCTGGTGGGGCGTGCATGCATCAGCCGTGGGTGCATGGACCTGGTGGGGCGTGCATGCATCAGCCGTGGGTGCATGGACACAGCAGAGCATGCATGCATCAGCCGTGGGTGCATGGACACAGCAGAGCATGCATGCATCAGCCGTGGGTGCATGGACACAGCAGAGCATGCATGCATCAGCCGTGGGTGCATGGACACAGTGGAGCATGCATGCATCAGCCGTGGGTGCATGGACCTGGCGGGGCATGCATGCATCAGCCGCAGGTGTACGGACCCAATGGGGCGTGCATGCATCAGCCGTGGGTGCAATCACCACCGCTGGGCACACTGCCCAGGCGGGGGATGTGCGTGTGTCCCCTGTGGGTGTGTGGCACGGGCAGGGTGTGCCTCCCTTGCCCCAGGGGTGTGTGGCCCAGCTGGGTCATGCACCCCTCGCCTCTCTACATGGCTCCAGCCCGTGGGTGCATGGCCCAGGCAGGTCGTGGGCTCGGAGTCGAGGTGTGCACGGCATCGCCCCTACTTGCTGCAGTGCTGCGCATGCCGCGCTCCGGCGTGTGTGGGTGCCAGCGGGGGGACATCCAGCTGCTGGGCAGGCTGGGTTGCTCACGGAGCAAACCCTGCCCGTTCCCCAGATTAAGTCGCAGGTCCAGGCACAGGCCGTGCTGGTGGTGGGAGCCCTCCCATGCAACAGGCACTATCGGCCCTGCAGCAGCACCCTCTCCTTCTCCTGGTACCACCGGAGGCATCCCCAGAGGTGCTGGGCAGGCTGCAGGCTGGGGAGCTGGCGCTGAGCTCCTGGTCTCTGCTATCAGCAGAGAGCACTGTTCAGTTACTGCTCGGCTTGGCTAGGGGCCATTTCTCCTCTGGACACGAAGCCCTTGCAAGTTCCCTGCGGTGCTGCTGGGTGCTGCATCTGCCCGGTCGGCGTGGCTCAGCACCCATCTCTCCAGGGATGCGCAGCCTGGTGTGAGCGGGGGTACCGCCTTTTGAAGCGGGGAGCCCCTTCCCATCACAGGCACCACCTGAGCTGCACCAGGAGCCACCGGAGAGGCATTGCCAGCCCACCTGTGGGGCCAGCTCCATGCCGGTGCCTTCCCTGGGTGCTGGGGAGAGCTGTGCTGTGCAGGAGCGGCTCTGGGGGTGTGCAGGGCTCTGGGGGCTGCTCACTGTCAGCAGGCAGGTTTGCAAACCCTCGGTAGCTGAGCAAGGCCCTGAAGACCCAGGATTCTCTTTCCACTGTCCCTCTTAGGATGAGTGGCCACTCCATCCCTGGGGGTGAGCCAGGTCTGCCCGTCCTCCACACTGGAGCTGGAAACCCCATAAGCTCTCTGCTCCCTCCCCTGAAGAGCTGGCACCACGCACAACCTGGCAAGCATCTCCTCTCCAAATGCCTGTTGCTTCCCAGGCCTGCCCCAGTGGAGCCGGGGGTGTCCCCTGGCCTGAGCGTGCTGCGGTGCAGGACCCCCTCGGGTCCCGCTGGGGAGCCGTGCCGGAAGCAGCCACCTCCTGCCAGGCTCCTGTTCCTGACACTCACTTATGTTTCACGGGGCTGTGACCCCTGTGGGCTTGCATTGCTCCCAGCCCTGCAGCTGGGCGGGCAGCAACCTGAACCTGGCAGCTGGGGTTTCAGAGGCAGAGCAGGGCAGTGCAGGGCAGCCGAGCTCCTGGGGTCACCTCATCTGCGGTGTGCCCCAGCAGAGCCATCCCCAGGGCAGACGCGTGCCTCTCCATGAGCTGAGGGGACATCAGGGCGCTGGGTGAGCTGGGCTGTTCCCCCCACCCGGCAGCCACCCTCCACACCTCTCCCTGCCAGGTCTTGCCCTGCGCTGCTGGAGGCTGTCACCATGACCCTCACCAAAGGCTCCTTCACCTACTCCAACGGGGAGGAGTATCGTGGCGAGTGGAAGGAAGGTGAGATGGGGCAGGAGGGGATGGTGCTGCCTGCACTGGGGGCCGAGCAGCCCCCGTGTCCCTACCCAGCACCATGCTGGGGCAGGTCCTGCCTCCATCCGTCCAGCACTGCCTGTTTCTGCCCTCGCCTAGGTCGCAGGCACGGCGTCGGCCAGCTGACATTTGCCGATGGCACTGCTTACGTGGGGCACTTCGAGAATGGGCTCTTTCACGGCTGTGGTGTGCTCACCTTCCCCGACGGCTCCAGGTGAGCGTGGCACCCCCATGTACACCTCCCCCAGCATCCCTGCTTGCCACGGGGAGCTGCTGCCTTAGGAGCTCCTCCCGTGCAGGTACGAGGGGGAGTTTGTGCAGGGCAAGTTCAACGGCGTCGGCGTCTTCACCCGCTGCGACAACATGACGTTTGAGGGCGAGTTCAAAGGCGGGCGCGTGTACGGCTTCGGTGAGTGCCCGGCAGCACGGTGTGGGCAGCCGCAGCCCCATGTGGCCCCAGCTCAGCACGGCCCCATCCAGTGTCTCCCGCTCCATCCCTCCAGCCCTGGCCCCGGTGTGTGCTGCTCCCTGCCCCGTCACTCCCGGCCCTTCCCTCCCCTCCCCAGGTCTCCTGACCTTCCCTGACGGCTCCCATGGGGTGCCCCGCAACGAGGGCTTCTTCGAGAACAACAAGCTGCTGCGGCGGGAGAAGTGCCCGGCTGTCATCCAGAGGGCCCAGGGTGCCTCCAAGTCTGCCCACAACCTGACAGCTTGACGGTGCCCCGTGCCCTCCTTCCACTGCGGTGGGGACCCCCACACCGGGCACTGGCTGGCCCCGCCGTCCCCGGAGCAGGGATGCAGCACTGCTGGGTGCCCCCCCTGCCCTCCGCTCGCTGGCCACCCAGCCTTGGTGGGGCTGGGGTCTGCACCAAGCCACCTTGCTGAACCCCTGCCAGTGGGGGGGACGGGGCTCCCTGCTCTCCACCCAAGTGCCCTGGGGCGGCCGTGGTGCCTTCTCTCTCTGGCTGTAGCCCTGGCACCCTCTGGAGCATCTGGGGCCCAGCCCCTCTGCCCTCTTGGGAAGGCTGTGGACCACCAGGGCTGCCAGCCAGCCGCGGGGGACGGAGCAGGGGTGTATGGACTGGGGCTGGCCCCTGACCCCACTGCCAGGGTGCCTTGGCCGTGGGCTGCTGGCTGGACCATGCGCCCGCAGAGAGGCAGCTCCTGGCCCGCTTCGCTACCCTGGTCCCAAGGCAGAGTGGGCACCCCAGGCACCCCATGGCCTGTGCCCTCAGCTCTGGGTGACTGGCCATCCCCCTGTATGCCCTGGGCAGGGTGACATGGTGCCCCTGAAGGACCCAGCCTGTTCTCGGGGCCAGACAATGGGCTGTGCGCCCCCTCGTCCCTGTGCCAATCCAGCCCACCCACTGCCTTAGGGACATCTGCAACAGCATCCCCACCAAGGGGGACCAGGGGACTCCCAGCCTGGCCCATGTCTGCTGCACACTGGGGGAGGGCAGGAACGATGGTGAGCAAGGAGCAGGGTCAGCTGGAGCCCAGGATGAGGGGCAAGAGCAGGGCTGCATGGGGTGCCAGGGCTGGAGCAGGGCGCCTGGGCAGGGCAGGCAGGGATAGCGGCATGGCGAAGGGGCAGGCAGGGTGGGCAGGGGGCACACAGCTCCCCATCTTGCCCCCCACATGCATCCTTCCTCTCCTCCGCTGCATGCTCACCTTCACCCCTGGTGCGGTCTGGCTGGCTGCAGCGTGGGGGTCCTGGCAGCCCTCACAGCCCGGTGGTGGGCTGCAGGGGCCATGCCCTCTCTGCCAGTCTCTGCCTGCACTGGTCCCGTGCCTTGCCATGACCCTGCCTTGTGCTGCTGCCTGCATGGGCCTCAGCTGAGTAAACCACGTTGCCAAACTCCCGGGCTGTGTTCTTTTTGCTGGGAGCAGGGACCGGGTGGGGGGCTGCTTGCGCGGGCAGGACTGCAGACACAGAGAGGGGGCAGCAGGTTTATTCCCGGCTCACAGCACGGGGATCCATCCCTTCCCAGGTAGGGACGGCAGGACCCTGGGGGCTGGCGGGGATGCAAGGGTGGCTGAGGGTGCTGGGTGTCCCCCCTACCCACTCTGCCCAGGGCAGCCCTGTCCAGCAGGAGGGAGTGAGATGTGTGGCTTTCTCCTGGCCATGTCCCAGTGTTCCCACCATGTCCCCAGCTCCTGGTGTCCCTGGCTCCCGTGCCTTCCCGGTGCGGAGAGGGGCAGGGGGGTCCCCTCACAACCAGCCGTTGGTGCTGAAGGCGCCCCTCAGCTCCTCAACCTGGGGGGCGCTCAGCGGGGCCAGGGGTGCACGGCAGGGACCCCCGTAGTAGCCGAACCACTCCATGGCCTTCTTCAGCCCCGGGATCCCAAACCGGCGGGTGACCTGTGGGAGGGAGGGCGTGGGGGCTTGCCGGCTCCTGTGGGACAGGACGGCATGCTCCGCGGGCCCTGCTCCTGCCGACCCTGCTCCTTGCTCGCCATCACTCCTGCCCTCCCCCATGTGGGGCTGCAGGGCTGGGCAGGGTGCAGGGTGGCTGCAGCCCCCCATGAAGTACCCACCGTGGGGTGGGGGCACAGAGCACGGCCACACAGGGGAGCATCCCTGTGGCACGGTGGGCTCTTTGCAGCAGGGATGGTGTGGGGCCTGGGGAGGAGCAGCTCTTCCTCCCAGCGCTGCCTATAAATATCCAGCAAGGCTCCCGCGGCGGGTCAGGAAGGTGCCCGCTGCCAGCGGACACGCTGTTCTTGGCATGGCAGGGCTGGCATTTCCCCCCCCGCCGCCTCCAGCCTGGCTCAGCTCACTGGCCGGGTGCTGTGCCATCCTGTCCCCCCTGGACCACCGCTCCACCCCCTGCAGCCCCAGGGACCTCCATCCTTTGCTGCCTCCCAGCTCTGCCGTGGCCCGGCACCCACCCCTCAGCATCCCCGGGGGTGCTGCCCACTCACCGCCACGTTGGGCTCGATGAGCCGGTGCTGCAGGTCGCGGGCCTCCTGCCAGCGGCCCTCGCGGCACAGGCGGTCCAGCTGGCACAGCGGGGCCCCCAGGACGTTGGCAAGAGCACAGACCCCCCCAGAGGCACCTGGGAACACCAGGGCATGTTGGCAGCCGGCTCAGCACGCCGTGCCCAGCCAGCACCTCCTGGGCACCGCCGCCCCTTGCCTGCCTCCCCCTGCCCGGCTGCCAGTCCTCGCCAGTGCCCCCAGGGCAGCACCCCATGTCCCCAGCCGAGCAGGGGCAGCAGCACCTACCTAGGGCGTAGCTCGCCAGCAGGAAGCCAGCCGATCCTGCCAGCACCTGGAAATCCTCCTGCTGTGTCTTGTGGACCATCAGCCCCATGCGGGTGATCTGGGGAGAGACATGCTGTGCCCTGGCATCACCCCGTCCCGCCACCATAGTGCTCCTGCTGGCACCCCCAGGGAAAGGCTGCAAGTCCCAGCTCCCCATTCCCAGCTTGGGGCCAGGTTTGGTGGCAGCCAGCCCCGGGAAAGCCCTGCCCCACTCACATCCCCACCGCTGTCCTTGATCCCGAGGATGTTGGGGTGCTGAGCCAGGGCAAGGACAGCCTCCAGGGGCAGGTCCAGGCCAGTGTTAGCGGGGACGCTGTAGAGCACCACGGGGATGGGGGATGCGTCGGCGACCTGCAGGCAGAGCTCAGCAGCTGGGGTGGGTTGGAGACATTTGGGATGTGCTCCCTATTCCACTGCCCTGGCTGGGGCTGCCGGTGGTCAGCAGGCACGGCTCACCTCTGTGTAGTGCTGGACCAGGGCAGCGCTGGTCATGGCTCCCCGGTAGTAGCAGGGCGTCACGACCAGCGCCACGTCGGCCCCCGCCTCTGCCATGCTGACTGTCAGCTCGATGGTGGCCTGGGTGGCTGGGGAGGAGGCAGAGGGGTGAGGGGTGCCCCGGAGGGGACACACAGCCCCCGCGCTGCCCACACAGGCACTCACATTCACAGCCTGAGCCAGCCAGCAGCAGGCGTTCCCTGGGCAGAGCCCGGCGCACACAGCTCACCACCTCCAGCCGCTCGCGGGGTGCCAGGTAGGGGTACTCCCCGTTGGAGCCCAGCACCACCAGCCCTGAAATGCAAGCGTGGGGAGGGCAGGGCTCGGGCACAGGAGCAGGGTGCCCATGCAGTGGCCATTCCTGCCCTCTCCACACCCCACTCTCAGGTGGGCACCAGGCACCCGGAGCAGCCCGCATCCAGCAGCCCCCTTGGGCTGGGAGGCTCTCACAGGTGCCCTGCAAAGCCCTGGGCTCCCCCCCAAAGGGCACATGTGTGTATGTGCCACCCAGATGGCAGTGCCCACCTGCACTGCGCTGAGCACCAGCGGTGCCATCCCTTAGCCAGGCACCCTCGTGCATGCCGTGCGTGCACCCTGTGGGCTGAACACACCACCTGCCTGCCTCCATCCCCAGAAACTGCCCCACACAGCACTGCTAGAAAGGCATTTATTGGTGCCTGCAGCCAGACTGTGCCACCCTGTCCCCGGCTGGGACACACAGACCCTTTCCTTGGGACACTGCCAGCACCACGGGCACAGGCAGCTCCAGCCCAGTGCTGCCAGGCTCTGCCACAGCATCCAGGGCTCCAGGATGCCAGGAGGGTTGGGTTTCCCCATTATCCCCTCTCCCTTCCCTGGGCACCCAGCTCTGCAGCCCACAGTGTGCCCTCTCCTGTCACTGTTCCCGCAGCCCTGGACTTACAGCCTGGTCAGAGGAGGGGAGACCCTGGGACACATTCCTGTGACCCCCAGCCTCTTCCTCTCCTCCCATCCATCCATCCTGGGCAATCAGCAGATACACATCGCATGGCACTGAATTTGTGTGTGCGCACGGGTGTGCAGAGGGTAGGTGCAAGCCTGCAGCTACACGTGGAGGATGTGTGCAAGCCTGCACGAGTGGAGTGTGCATGCAAGCATGCACCAAGGTGTGGTGGGGTAGTGCAAGGACACACGCGTGTGCCTGGGCTGCCTGGGCACTTGCCATGCAAAGGGCCCCAGGTGGGTCACCCGAGGGGTTGCCAGCCCCAGAGCAAAGTCCAGCTGGAGGCCGAGCACCCTTGGGAGGCCAGCAGGCTGCCTGCATGCTGCTGCGCAGCCCCTGAGGTGGGCAGGGATCTGGCAGGAGCCTGCACGAGAGGGGCAGCACCTACCTCGGAAGGGGATGCTGGCGTAGCGGCGCATGTTCTCCTCCAGCCGGGCGTAGTCCACCTCCTGTGTGGGTGAGAAGGGGGTGGTGAGGGGCGGGAAGATGCCCCTGAGGTCCAGTGTGTGCCCCGCTCCTGGAGGGACACTGAGCCCCCGGCACTGCCCGGGGGCTGCCCAGCGCAGAGCTGCCAGGACGGGCCGGAGGGCCGAAGCGAGGCAGGTGCTGAGCGCCATGATGGCTGGGTGCTGCCGCCGGCTGTGCTGCCTGCCCTGCCGAGGGACTGTTAATGTTTGACGGGGCACGTGAGGGACCTGCGACCCAGCTGGACGGACAATGTGGGAGGTGGTACTGGGTGAGCTCAGGATGCTTTTCCTCCCCTCCAGGAGCTGGCTGCAGGAGCTCAGCACCCCTCCGGGTGAGCCCCAGCCACCCCAGCTGCACTTTCCCTTCCACTTGCCAGCCCTGGCAGCCATCCCTCTGCCACCTACGGGACCGGGCTGCAGGGCCAGGGAGGGACCAGGCATTGCGGGGAGTCCCGGGGCTGTGGGTAGGGTTCGCCTGCTCTGGGTGTTGGTGTAGGGTCTCCTGTAAATGGGCAAGTGGGAGCATTTCTGGGTAGGGAGCAATGAGCACCGCACTCAGCAGAAGTGACCCAGCCTGCAAAGGGGCCACGGTGTGCCCCCAGGGATGGCTCCAGTGGGGAAGGCAGGAGAAGAAGCAGCCATCCAGCCCCACAGAGTGGCTGCCCAGCAGGGGTACAAGTGCTGCTTCCCTGCACAACCCCAGCCTCCAGCACAGCATGGAGCTGCCCTCGATGTAGTTTTCCTCCCTGAGCTTGCCCAGGTGGGACTTTGAAGCACTGCGAGCAACCAGGGCATCCCTGGTTGTTGATGTTGAAGATGTAGTAGTTGAAGATGTCCCTGCCAATTGCAGGGGGGATGGACTAGATGACCTTTAAAGGTCCCTTCCACCCCAAAGCATTCTATGATTCTATGATCCCGCAGTGAGGAGTTCCACCCTTGAACCACTTGTGTCCTGGCCCCATGGTGTCACCTACACTCGAATCCCTGTGCTAGGAGTCAGGGCACATCCGTGCTGGCGGATAACCCAGCTCCCCGGATAACCCAGCTTCCCCAGCCCCATTGACCCCGGCGCAGGCTGCCCAGCCCCCTGGAGCCAAACACCGCTCTTTGCTGGCTTTTATTGACATGGACAAGTCTCGGCTGGATCCTGCTCCTTGGAGCTGAGTCCAGTCCCTGGTCCCTGCCCGGTGCCGTCACGCGGGGACCTCCATCTCCCCCTGTGGCTGCTCCTTGGTCTCCAGCGCCTGGCGTGTGTCCACCTGCCACTGCTGCACCAGGTCCGTCGGGGTCTTGCCAGCCTGCAAGAGCGGGCAGAGAGAGGCTGGGGCTGGGGTGGTGTGATGTGGTGGGGCAGCAAATGGCCCCAGTGCCAGCCCCCCTGCTCACCTGGTTCTTGGCCATCATGTCGGCCCCGTGCAGGATCAGCATTTTGATGATCTTGTAGCGGCTGAGCCGCGTGGCATCATGCAGCGCCGTGTCGCCTTCCTGTGAGAGATGCAGCCTGGCTAGGGATCGTGGTCCAGCTCTGGGGACAGGGACGCCCTGCCCATCCCTGGCACTGCTTCCCGGCTCCCCACACACCCATCTCCCCACGAGGACAAGGGGGACGGTGCCCACCCCAGCCCTGGCTGTGGCTGCCAGCACCCTGGGGCAGGGATCTGTGTGTGTCCAGACGTGGCCTGCTGCAGGTGCTGGGAGACCCTGGAGGGGTCACCCAATGGAGAGGGGATCAGTGTTGCCCCCCCAGTGCTGACTGCGGGCTGTAGCACTCACTCTGTCTGGGGAGTTGATGTCCACCCCGCAGTGGATGAGGTGCTCCACGATGTCGGGGTGCCCAGTCCGGGTAGCCACGTGGAGGGGGGTGCTGAGCAGCTTGAGAGGGGAGGAAGTGGACACCAGAGGGGATCAGCACCCACCCCTGCTAACCCAACACAGGGTCAGCCCTGGCCCCCAGGGCATGCACATGCCCCTGGGCTCTGCCCTGCACACCTTGTCCTTCAGGTTGAGGTCTGCCCCACGGTCCTGCAGCAGCTTGACGGCATCCAGGTGCCCACCCCGGCAGGCCCAGTGCACGGCGGTGCAGTCCAGCTGGGCGCATAGAGCCACGTCATGGCGGGGAAAACCCTCCCCCCATGTTCGTCCCCTGCCCCAGCCGGTCCCCATGCCCAGGCTGAGCCGGCAGAACCCTGCCCACGGCCGCCGGTGCAGCCCAGCTGGGCGCATAGAGCCACGTCATGGCGGGGAAACCCCTCACCCCATGTTCGTCCCCTGCCCCAGCCGGTCCCTATGCCCAGGCTGAGCCGGCAGAACCCTGCCCACGGCCACCTTGGCAGTGGGGGCAGCACTGCCCCTCTGCGGGGACCCCAACCCTGCCATTGCTCTGGCTGTGCCGTGCCCAGAGGCTCAGACCAGCATGGAGCCAGCGGCAGGATCCAGCCTCACCCGGTCCCTGAAGTCCACGGTGGCCCCGCTGTCCAGCAGCTTCTGCAGGATGTCCATGTGTCCCTCCAGTGAGGAGCGGTGCAGGGCCGTGCGGTGGAACTAGAGGGATGAGGCGCCGTGTTGGTGGACGGATCCATCCCCCCCCGGCCCAGCCCAGCCGTACCCCCAGCCCTGTCCTGGGGGTCCCAGCCCCTGCCAGCAGGCATGGTGGGGTATGGCAGCAGGGCACAGGCAGGGCGGCCAGCAGCCGTGGGGGACAATACCTCATCACATGTGTCAGGGGAGCCACCATCTGCCAGAAACTTCTCGATGACACGCATCTTGCCCTGGACAGCAGCTCGCAGGAAGGTCTCCGGCTCCACAGGACCTTCCTGGTGGTGGGACAGGCTCAGGGCTGGGGCATCGCAGGGGTGCAGGAGAGGGAACAACACGGGGGGGCCCCCTGTCCTGCTTCCCCAGGGAGGTCCCTGGCTGGCAGGGTGACCCAGGGCTGGCCCATGGGGGCTCCAGCCCCTGTCCCAGCAGTCCCCCTCCTGCACCCCAGGACCCCCTGACGTACGATCTCCAGGGGCTCTGGTGGCGGGGGGGGCTCAGGGGTGGCCGCCCGCTCCTCCCGGCGCTGCCGGCGCAGCTTGCGGAGCTCAATCAGGCGCTGGATGCTCCCCACATCGATGATCTCCCGCCGCAGGTCCACCGAGCTCTTCCGCACCCGCTCCTGGCCCTGGGGGGGGGACATGCAGCACCCCGTTCACCTTCTCTGCACCCAGTGACCCCATAGCCCCCCTGCACCCTGACCCACCTCACCTTGACGGCCTCAAGGCCCCGGTTCCTGGGGCCACGGCGTTTCTCCTCCTCCAGCTCGGGCGTGCTCATCCGCTCCACGGCTGGCGGCTCCCGCGCACCATCCTCTTTGAGTCGCTGCGTGGGCACGGGGGGGCTGCATGGTCCCAGCCGGGCACAGAGCAGCCCTGCTGCCTCCATCCCCAGCCTGACGGTGGAGGTGGCTCTGGGCACAGCTCACAGCTCGCTGCTGAGTTCTCTGGGATGCCTGGCAGCCCTTGGGCTTGTGCTTGCCCGCTTGCCCTGCTCAGCAAGCTGGGCACCTGTCTGCTGCTCAGCAAGAGCTCCCAGGTTGGGAACCTGATGGCCCTGAGAGCCCTTGGCCACCTTGCTGCATCGCCCAAGATGGCAGGGTCGGTGCCAGCTGCCTCACATCTGGGGCCCTAAGGATGAGCACAGCACACAGCAGGTCGCTGCCACATCCCCCTGCCCTACGGACCCACCTTCTCCTCCTCCTCCTCTTCTGCCAGCTTCTGCTCGATGAGCTCCTTGGCCCTTTCCACGTCCAGCTCCATGTCTGCCTGTGGTGCACAGCCCCGTGCAGGATGTGGCCTCTCCTCCTCCTCGCCACCACGGGCAGGGAGTGCCCGACTCTGGCTCCCCGTGCTGTCGGCGGCTCCGCTGGCCGCGGGGCTTTATGCCGCCGGCCCCTCCGTTCCATGGCCCAAGGGCACCAACAGCTGTGACTGCTCCACATGACTGGGGCAGCTTTGCCATGAGCTCACCCTCCTGCTTTCTGGTGGCCCTGGCTCACCTCCCTGGCCCCACACCCTCTTAAAGAGACCCACCACCCCCATCACGGGCTGCCCGGGACCCCCATGCTGGGTACGGGGAGCTGAAGTGTGCACAGCCTGCAGCAGCCGGTCCAGAAAGGCTCGGCAGAGTGCGGGCGTGGTTTGAGGTCACCCCATGGGTTCTGTGCCTGTGCCGCCCACCCTGGGCAGCCAGGATGCTCCCCATGGCTTCCATCACCCCATCCCCAGGCAACCAGATGCTGCAGCACCCACCAGCATCACCTGAGGCTCCCTGGTGCCCGAGGGGTGCTGTCCACCCCAAAGGCAGGCAATGGGGCCCCTCCAAACCTCTCTGCCAGCAGCAGGCAGCACGTGATGCCAGGAGTCGCAACCCCTCTGTGCCGCTTTGGAGGATGACCTCAGGTGCAGAGCGTCTCGAGCAGCCCTGCCAGGGGCCCGTGGCTGCCTGGCCTCCTCTGCCATGCACGGGCAGCCTGGCAGCGGGACCAGCAGGCAGAGCCGGCAGCTATTCCCGGCAGCGGGGACATTGTTCAGCCCCCCTGGGCTTTGCTCTCCCGCTTTGTAAGATGAGGCCGGCACTGCCCTGTGCCGGGACAGTTAATGCGCTGGGCACCGGCCCCCAGCACAGGACTTGGGGGAAGGACAGATGGGGACACGTCACTGTCGCCCTCCTGGACAGTTCCCCAGGTCACCCTTGTGTGCCCTGTCCCATGGGTGCCGCAGCCTATGGCTGCAAAAAGGCACCCAGACAAGCAATGGTGGCCATGAAGGCTGTCCTGGGACCGTCCCCTTCCATGGGCTGTCCTGCCTGGCCCCAGGGCAGACACAGACTGAAACCTCCGGAGGGGAGCACCGGGAAAGGGAGGCAGTGGCTCCACGCCAGCAAGCAGCCAGGATGGCAATGGGACGATGGTGGCAGTGTTGGGCAAGGGTGTAGGCAGGTAAGGAGCCAGGGCTGGCGGGACAGGGTCAGGGTGGCACCAGGGAGCTGAGCTGGGGTGCCAGGGCTCTCCGTGGCCACCCTGTGCCCATCCTGACATGGGAGCGGATGTAGGACAGGCACAGGGACCCCCCGTGACTGCAGGTGACAGTTCCCCCAGCCTGCCCCAGGGACAGAGGAAGGATGAAAAGGCTTTATTGATAAATACAGACTATGTACAGAGGGGAGACATCTCTACCCAGCCCAGCATCCCAGGGCCTCCTGGCCAGAGGGAGCCAGAGCCCAGTGGGTCATGGCCTCTCCCTGCCGGCACAGCCCAGCAGCAGGGCCCTGGCTGCTCTGACCACCCCAGAGACATTTGGTCTCAAACCTCCTGCAGCAAACGTGGCACATGCCCACGTTCCAGCCAAGAGGGGCCACCGCGGTGGCACAGCCCCATGCAGACCTTCCTGGGGGATCACCCGGGTGGGGGACAGCCTTGGAGGAGCAGGGGCTGCCCTGGCTCCAGCAGAGCTGGGACACAGCATAGGGCATCCCCAGAGGTGCCACTGCCGCCCAGCCCGCTGCCCTCTCCTCGTAACGAGTCAGGGTGGCTCAGTTCCTGGGTGGCAGGGGCTGGTTGACGATCACTTGCACAACAAAATCCTTCTGGATCTTGGTCTCCTGCAGCCGTGTGCGGTCAGTGAGCAGCTTGCCTGAGAAGAACCAGCGCTGCCAGGCCAGGTCGATGCCCTCCTGCGCCTGCAGCTGCTTCTTCAACTGCCCAATGGTGTCACCCATGCTGGCGTTGAGCCTCAGGTCCTTGCCGGTGGAGAGCCGCACCTTGAGGGCAAACTCCCGCCGGGTGTTGGGCAGGGGCTCAGTCGTCTCCGCTGTCTCCTCCTCACTCCGCTCCAGGATCAGGTTGACGGGAGGTGCCAGGCAGTAGACAGGCAGCTGGTACCGGTTGCCCAGCTCGTCGTAGCACTCCGTCAGGGACCCTGGGGACAGCAGGGTGAGATGCTGTGGGTGGGCATCCCCATGGATCCCCGAATGGGGATGGGGCCACCCCAGGCAGCAGGGCAGAGCCCATCGTGCCTCCCTTGGCTGGGCTGAGCTGCGTGGATGGCAGGTGGGAACCCCTCTTCTCTCCTCTCCAACCCGGGACCCTGATGTGCTTGGATGTGGGGCACTCAGCACCCACCCCACCCGCACCCCCAGTGCCGTCCCTCACCGTGGGGCAGGGTGATGCTGGCTCCGTCAAGGATGGCCTGGGCCAGGCTGTGGTCATTGGCCTCCACGGCATAGGCAGCTGCCTTCAGGGCATCCCAGATCTCCTTGCGGCCCTCAAAGGCGGGTGCCGTGTCCCAAAACTCGTCCCGCTTGCTGCGCAGCTGCCCGTCCGTCATGGGGTAGTCGCTCTTCCACTTGGGACGCTCCTTCTTCAGGGGCTCATTGCGGCCTGGGGAGGGGGGAAATGCTCAGCCAAAGGACGGGGCTTCCCCTTGGGCCCTGAGCCCCCCACCTCCCCATCCCCACAGGTTCCTGGGGACCCCTCGCACCATGCACAGCAGTGTCCGAGGGACCGCCCTGCCCAGCACAGGACAGTCTCCAACGCAGCCAGGGGGAACTCAGCTAAAGCTAGCCCTGCCCAAGGTTCCACTGCCCCATAGCAGCTGCCCCCGCCAGTGACATCCTTTGCCCCCAGGAGGGACAAGGACTCTTGCCCCCATGCTAGGGGGACCAGCCCCTGCCCTGTGGGGTGGCCGTGGTGCCTTGGGGCCCTTTGAGGCAGAGCAGTATTTATAGCTTGGGGAATTAGCCAGGAAATAAGCCGGTGAGTCGGAGGGGAAGGGGATTACAGGGGCTGAGCCGCAGCTCTGGCAGGGGGGGACTGGACTTCTCCATCCTCTCTGCCCACCCCAGGGTGGCAGGGACCAGCTCCATACAAGACAGCAGGCACACAGCATCCAGGGCATCAGGGGGGCAGAGGGCATTACCAGGGTGGAGGGCTGCCAGCCTGCAGTAGCCCCAGCAATGGGCTGAACTGAGCAAGAAACAGTCCGCATTCACATCCCCAGGCACCCCCAGCAGCCAACAGTGCCTGGGGCACAGCGGCAGGGGTCTGGGCCACCCCCCATGCTAGCCCCACACCGCCCTGCCCTCCCTACACCAGGCTGCAGTCCTGTGGGAACAGCCCCATCCTGTCAGCCCCACGGCTGGGCCAGAAGCGTGGGGCAGGAAGGAGCTGCTGTCACTCCCAGCTGAGCAGGGGACAATGAGTGACAACAGCTCCTTCCTGCCTCCCCTCTCCCTGGGGCGGCCAGCTGGCACCCTTCCTGTGGGGACGGGACGTGGGGGATGTGGAGCCCCAGCCAGGCAGGAAGGATGCCTGTGCCTGCAGTGACCACCGCCAGCTGCGGGCTGAGCCACGTCTCCCAGGCAGCTTTTCCTGGGCAAGCATGCGGTGGCACAAGGCACTACATGACCTTTTTTCTGTGCCAGTCCTGTCCCACCCCATCCAAGATCACTGGAGCCGGCACAGCACCTGCCTTCCCAGCAAGCACCCAGGCCAGAGCTGGACACAACATGTGGCACCCGCCCTGTGAGCCCCCCATGGGGCACAGGAGCTCAGCTACCCCAGGGCTGGATGCTGAGCATCCCTCATGGGCAGCATCCTGCCTGCACCCGCATCCTCAGAGGAGCGAGGGCAGCCGGCTGCAGCCAGCGCTGCCGATTCAGCAGTCATGGTGCTGGGCAGGAGCGATTTGCAGCACTGCAGGACAGAGCAAGGTCGGAGGCGGCACCTGCCCCGGGAAGGTGGCAGAGCAGCGGTCACGGCCAGTCTGAAGCACACGGCCGGGACCATGTCTCCACACTGCTGCGACCACCAAGCCAGGGCATGTGTCTTTACAGCCAGGACCATCATGCACAGTGGGACTCCCAGCTGGCACTGTCCCCCCAGCTTCGCTCACGGCAAAGGGAAGAGGCTGGCCCAGGCGAGGCAGCAGGATCAGAGCTGCGGGGCCTGCCTGCAGCCGCCCCACGCGGGCAGGCGTGCCCGGCAGCCTTGCCCAGGTAGGCAGGGGCTAAGCTTTGTCTATTTATTGCTGCCGCCCAGCCGGGCCCTGCAGACTAATCACCTCCTGCCACTCTATTCCTCGGC